CTTCTTCTTCTTCTTCTTCTTCTTCTTCTTCTTCTTCTTCTTCTTCTTCTTCTATTCTCGTCTTTATAAAATCACTAATCTCTTCCAGGATGTAGCTCCAGTGATAGAGCAGGTGTCAAGGAGTTTGAGGCAGGTACCCTACTCTTTAAAAGTGTAAAAGAAAGGAGAAGAAAAGAATAGGCACAGCGAGAATCAGAACATAAAAAGACCTCTCGAGTGTATACGCTCTGGAGCTGGGCAAGATCTGAGTCACAAATCCGTCTAATCTATCCGGTCGCTGCCTCTTTAGGATAAGGGAATTATACTGAGATCCGGACAACGATCTTGTTTAAACATATTATTCAAAGCAATCTTGCATACTGCTATCTTTCGTTTCATTTTCTTTTTAGATTAACATAATTGTGTAAACCATCACTGTCTAGTGTAATAGAATGACCTAAAGAGATGAAAAGTGAGCTATTACTTTCACTGCATGGGTTTAACGGAAAAGTAAGCATTAATTGCGCCGAACAACATTATTCCTTATTTAATTAATTGGGGTTAAAAGTGTGTGGAGCAGTTTTATTCTATAAATTGTATCTTTAATCAAACAAAATCTCCGTTAGTAAAGAACCATTTCAAACAAATTAGATCTCATTACTCAACTTGGTAAATCCCTAATTGGTCCACCCAAACACCGGTTCATTAAAAAGCGGGTGCTTTTCCAGCTCCAACCTGTACTCCCGCGCATGCGTCATAGTTCAGGAAATCTATAGCAACCCTAAGAAGACTCACGTAGGCCTACGCCGCCATTAGAACATGTGTTATTGTTTCACGGACTCCTGCTTTTTCTTCCTGTTTGTTGCTCTCTTCCAACAGACCTAATATTTATGTAGCCTACATTTGGGCGCTCACGCACACCCACTTGTTGTATTGGTGAGAGATGATGAAAAGGTCAGAGGGCTTTAATGAAAAATGTATTAGCCTTTGGCTTGGCTAGTGATAATACGCGCGATGTGCTTCGTACTGTTGCATTGCGTGCATTAAAAATATTAAGAGACGAAAAAAAGCACGGACAAATACAGCTCCCATGTAAACGATGCGCTATATTAGACAACACAGAAGATCCATGACATAAAAACAACAACAACAACAACAACCAAAACAAGAAGCACCCTATCGTTTATAATAGCAAACGATCGAAACAAATACATTTTCTTTTTTTCAGGAATAACAGCGGCTGTGTTGTTGCAAATGTTCTGAACCCACATCGACTACAGGGCAGAGTACCTCAACTCCAACATGTCTGCTTGGGTCAACCTCCGATTTAAGAGCACAACGACCACATCCATAAAATAAACAGACAATATAGCATTCAGCTCATAAATCCTTCATAGAAAATGGTAAAATACTAGCCCGCTAGCTATTCAGACGTACTAAGCCCAAAGTTCTGATTCTTTTTAAAAATATTGCAGTTTCTATATTTGTAGTAACAGTGGCATGTGCTCTGGAAAATGTAAAATAATGTCAAAATTAAAAATCTAAATGTTGAAAAAGATAATAATAATGATGATAAAATAATATGCTTTAATGCATGTAGAAAAAAGAAACAGTTTTTCTTCTCTCCTGACAAAAAAGAAGCTTTTTGGGCGTAGTTCAGTTAGAACAGCTAGCCAACAATAAGCAACAGCTAACAGCTGCACTCACTTTGTCCTGATGTGGTACACAGAATACTCAGCCGTTGTGGAATGACGGAAGATCTGCGGACATGGTATTTGTCACAATTGAAACAAGGAAATCAAAATCAATATTAAAACATTTGGTTGTTGTTGTTGTTGTTGTTGTTGTTGTTGTTGTTGTTGTTGTTGTTGTTGTTGTTGTGGAAGGGGGGGGGGTGAAACTGAGTATCTTTTTTTGCTATGAAATATTCACTTTTATAATTTGATTTATCTTGAAGTATTATACCAGTATAACTGTAACTGAAAAAACAACAACCAAATATTGCTCACCACATTAAGAACTTACTGTTAATAAATCCTTATCAATTCCCACCCCACTCCACCCCATCCCACCCCTTAGAAAGCACACTAAAAGTTTAAGCACACAACAAAATATCAAATCGATTGAGAGCGAGCATGACAATTTAACTAACAAACTTTGACATTTTTCATAAACTTAAACACATTTCGTATGCAGGCTCACTCACATTTTTAACTAATCTTGTGGACCTTTCACTCTGTAAAAAAATACGTTTTTTCCCCTCCGTTTTCTTTCCCCCGCATCCATTTAACATTTCACCTCCTTTCCTCGCAATCCTCATTAGGCCTAAGAACACTCCTGATGTCTGAAGTAGATATGAAGGACTTAGTTTTGCGTTCGGCGGGTCTCGACAGAAAGATGGAAGTTTGATAAAATATACCGGTGGTGGTAATTCTGGAAGCTTAATTGTGTGTAATGTGTGTGTGTGTGTGTGTGTGTGTGTGTGTGTGTGT